TACCCTAACGCTCTTTTTGGAGCCGGTGCTTCACTGAGGAAAAGGCTGATTTCAGTGACTCGTTGAAGGTCCCTGGGGTCCATTCTTTCAAGGGCTTTCGCAAGGAGGGCCCCGGGCCTTCAGCATGAGGGGCCATGGAATGTCCTGTCGGTACGTGGAATTCTGTTCAAGCAGTTCGGGGGATGGACATGCAACATAGGATTCCGTGGGATACTTGAAGGAATCACGGGGTTGCATTACATGACCAATGTAAGTATAGCAGCCTGAATGATTGGAATAACCTTTGTAATCCGTACAGGGCCATATGAAAATGTGTGCACCCTAGCGAAACAGCGATACGCAGGTTTGTTATCTACATTGTTATAGGTCCAACCATGCAGGCCACTATAATGATTGAAAGACTTGTTCGATGGCCGCCTTTTGCGCCTGCTCTTGCCTGCTTACTCTTCGCTGCTGGCAGCGTCCTGCTGATCACCGCTTCTGAGCGCCTTGGCCATCTTATTCAGCCGCAAACGAACAATGCAGAGATAGCGTTGAATGGTACGCAAAGACACCGTTGACCTGTGGCATGTCCTGCAGGGTTCCATTTCAGGACCACCAAAGGCATTGTGAAAGTCTGTTCTGGGGTTATATGAGCAAAAAAATTATCACATGTTCCTACTTAATGCAATGGGCCGTATCCGAAACTACTTTGGAAAGAATAATACGATAACATCTAGAATTATTTAAGGCTCCCGTAGAAAAAGCAAGGCTCCTGGAGATGCGCCCTATAAATCCCACCCACGATTCCGCCGCGAGGAGGTTATAAAGGCCAGGATTAATAAGACTCTCTTTGGCCTCCTCAAGAGCGTGCTGGAGGTAATGATGTTTCGGTATGATTGCAAAACTGCTTCGAAGAAGAACCTTGCCTCGCTTAGTGGCGCTACGGGCACGAAGGTGGGCATAGGAGAGCAAGAACAGGTTCCCATGCTCGTACATCAAATCAGCTTCTTCGCGAGAGCACACCAATCCAGATTGATCGAACGCTCGCAGCATTGAGCAGTATGCCCACATGCAAATTGCGATCTCCTTATCCACAGCTGTTGCACCAACGCGCTCGCCCCACTCCATGCTCCGTTGCGCAAGCCAAAAGCTAACGCGCTTGCCGTTCACGGCCTTTCCTGCTAAGCATGGATACATCCCGCGGTGCTTCCGATTCAGCCGGGAGGGTGTGAACCGGGGCTGCGTAGCTTTCAGCTGGTTCAGGCGCAGCCAGGTTTTGAAGTCTAAGAAGGCAAAACGCAACAGCGAGTTCATGTTGTGCTCGTAGAAACCTCTGTCTGGCAGGGGTCCGTACATGCCACTTTCCACAAGATAGGTCAAGATGCTTCCGTTGAGAACCTTGGACGTTCCCAGCAACTGGCTGTGCGTCGTATCGTGCAAGAATCGAGACAATGCCACGCCGTGCAGCATTGGCAGTGGGAGGTCCTCCAGCGCTTTGTTTGACATGTAGTCTGCAGTGCTCACCCGGCCCGTTGATCTGTGGATGGAATTCTCCCTGAAGTCAGTAAAGGTTTCCCTTACATCCTCCGCCTTCTTGACAGCAGAGCACAGAGAGCAGAATTCGTCTGCTACACGTTGATAATGATGAAGGTGGTAGTTCGACTCGGTTCCAACAAACTTGATTAAGGAACTTTGAATTGTACTAGGCCTTCTGGCAGGTGGCTTGGGTTGTTATAGAAGAGAGCTACTACCTTG